AACTCCTCTTTTTCTCTGCAACTTCCCGTCTTCTCCGTTTCCTCTGCAACTTCTCGTCTTCTCCGTTTCCTCTGCAACAATCGTCTTTCTTTGTTTCTCTCTTTCTCCGCCACCGCAAGTCCTCATCTTCTCCCTTTTGCTGTCGTGTCCAAGTGCAAAGCTGAGGATCCGATCCATATCCCGTGTCGGTATCCGTGTCGTGTTGTGTCGACACGGATACTTCTCTATTTTTGGAGACTCCGAGCAACATAGTTCATAGCTATTCCAAGCTTATGGACATTTTAGTCCTTTATTTTCTAGCAAACGTCCCCTCGCCATAGGATTCAGAACGGATTTTGATTCTAGATGGTTCCATAGACATGTGGCTTTCGCCCATGAGCTAGGTTATTATTTTCATTTCGTCATTTTCGCATGTTCATTAGCTACCTTACGTCATTAGGTTCAGCATTTCGCCGACAGGGGTTCAGCCTGCCAAGGCAACTTCTTGCCTTTGTGGACTCGTGGCTCCGCCCCATTTGTACGAAGCCCATAGTGCAGTGATCTTAAAGCTTCACATTTTCGAAGCATCTCTGGCAAAGCCTAGTTTGGTTCCATTTTGTAGTGATGTCATTATGGTTGACCATGCGGCTTCCTTCTCGCTAAGTGGGTCTACCTTGGCATCTGCATAGGACTTTCGTGTGCCACATGAAGCCATGTAGTGTCAGTAACCACAAAAGGAAAACTCTCTATCGCTATTTATGTTTTGACACTTGGCCCCAAGCTAGAATAATGGAGGATTGTTGTAGGTTGAACTTCAACATAAAACTTTATCATACCTTAAAGACTGTCAAGTTATGGAGCATAATAATTGCCGCTTTGTTGAGTATGTATGCGAATCGACCTTCGTGATGAGGTCACCCGTGGGGTTGGAATGGAAGGGGATAGGAGGCCCTCTCTCACAGGAGGTGCAGGAGAGGGAAAGGATGAAGCCCTGTGCTAGATTTTATTAAGGATGGTTTAGAAATTTATGTCTTCATAAATTCTGTCTTAAAAATTTGAGTCCTTTTAAATTTCAATTTTGGCCTAATTTGTTGAACCGTCATTAGGCATTTAAATCACCAACATAAAAGAGAGAGAAGAGGTTAAAGAAGATAGTTGTACGGTTTTCTCTTGTAAACTTTTTTTCATTATAGTAAATTACTACAGCACCGAAAGAGGACGAAATCTCACATTGAGACATACCTCTATAAATCTTGTATGTATTTTTTTCACGTTAATTGATTGCTCTCGTTGAAATAGAATTAGGGTTTCTAATTCTCAACAAAGCATAAATTATCCTATTCATCCCAACACTAAATAAAAAAAAGAGCTAGAAATAAAATGAAAATTTGCAATAAATAGAAAAAAATAGAAACACGATGTATAATCTAAACATGGTCAAACTAGACTAAATAAATTTTTTATTGGTACTTAGTCCATTTTCTTGCCTCTCAAACATCCAAAGAAACCCTCCAAGATATTTTGATGGTCAACTTTTATCTATCCTACTCCTTGTCCTAGCTTAAAAGCGATTTACTCGTGCAATTAATGTCATGGATGTAAATATGGAGTAATATTCAACATTTTCCATTCATGAACAGTTTAAACATATTTGTGTTCATTAACATTATGATTAACACTAAATGAACTACTCTGAACTTCAAAAAGGGAAGAACGCTCGTTCTTATTTATCTTTCGGCTTTTTCCAGCAAACTTACACATAACCAATGATTATTTCATCAAGCAATCGTTAAGTCTGTCACAAATGTGCAACAAAGAACCTTTTTTATTTCACATTCCATGAAAAAAAAAGTTTCAAATAGAAAAATGAGAATCATATATTCATGTCATCTTCCACTTAAAATTGGAAAAGATCATTTCAACTAATTGTCATTAAGCCATTTTTGCATTGAACTTAATATTTTCCATCTATTAGAATATTAAGATTGAAAATGGACAAAAACCATTAAAGACCAACAAGAATTAAAAGATTTACCTGACAAAGATTAACATCAGAAGCCCAAGTAATCCTTTTTGATTTCTTCAATTCTCCCATAATTTGCAAATACAAATTATTGGATGTAATTTTCAAACATATATAGAAAACTATTGATTCAATTGCTTTTTGCAATCGCGGCCACCAACTCTCAATACTGAAATTTCAAAGAAACCCTAATCTATTTCCTATTTTTTATCGCTTGTTTGGTTATGCTTTTAAGAGCTTATAAGTTATGGCATGTGGGTCCTATGAAGCGTGTAGATAATAAGTGGGTAATAAATTATTGATCCTACAAAATGCGGAGATAAAAAATATGACCAACTTAAAAAGAAATAATAATAATAAACTTCGACAAACATGCACTCAGCTGATCAGACTATATATAGAGGGGGTATGTCCAACGAAAATTCTGGAAAGCAACCCTGTATCCTCAAAGCTTTTTTGATTTTTTCTCTTCAATACTTTCAAATATCTCTCATCTTTCACTACTATAGAACTTTTTTTTCAATAACTATCAAATTGAGGGACTATTTTGAATGGTCACATGGCATAAGATGCTTTGTAGCATTTTCCATTTCTGTAATTTAATTACCCAAAATGGTTCCAATTGATACGAACAAAGTCAAAACAACGCGTCCTAGATTGTCTTGACATTATAACTAATGTTCCTAAAATTTCAGTTTTATGTATTTAACAACTAGTTGACTTATAATATATTAGCTTAATATGAATTGATCCAAAATTGTGGCTAAGATATATCAAAACATTTTAACACAAATCCAAGATGCCTAACCACCTTCAAACATACAATTGCATGAATAAAATAAAATCCATGTAATTAAGAATGTCCAATATACAACAGCCGATCCCTTAAAACAAAAAAATACACATTATTTATCAAATAGGAGGCACATATAAACTCAGTGACCATAGAAGTTATTAACCTATAATTATAAAGCAGGTGATCTCCATATATTTAATAATGGGATTGTGTAATTGCAGGAGGGGATCTGCAGTTATGGAATTTTCTATTGGCAGAATATTCCTCCACTGTCATATTTGATGCTTACACAAGGATTTCTGACCATCCTTCTGCCTCTTTTCCTCTATCACATATCTATCTTATTACTATCTTTCATAGCTCGCCTTGACACTTTGCATTTGGTGAGCACGTGAACCATTTCTACAAAATCCAAAATCAACTAAAGGTTTCATGCATATTCGGCATCACGAGTTGTTTTAGATCCTGGAAAAAACCTACATAATGGTTGTGACTCCAATGTGATTTTAAACTACTCCAATGTGTTCACGTTTTGAAAAGGAAAAAAAAAGTCTCTCATGAAGTTATTCTCAAACTTACGATAAATCACATAAAAATATCTTGTGAATCCAACTAAAAGATAACTCATAAAAATTCAGCTAAACTGTGAAAAAAGAATCTCTGTTAACTATAATCTGCCAAAAACAAAACCTTCCAGAATAAAAAACATTTGGACATGCAGAAATAAACTATTCTAGTCAGCCTTACAAAGTTCAAAATCAAAGGCACGACCAAATATTTTATTTACGCAAGGAAGGAGAAAAACATGCCAGTAACTAGAAAAGGCATTGACTTTAAATTGCATCTGCATGTAAACCCTTACCAATTAACTCATTGCATGGCATTGATTTATGGTCATCAAGCTGATTCCAGAATGCTGGATTTGATGAATTGCAGTTACTGCTTCTTCTCTTCCACTTTCCATGGTTGCAAAAAAAAAAAAAAAANAGGACCTCATCTATCAGAACCCAAATAAAAAAAAAAGGAAAAAAAGAAAAAATAGAGAGATTTATAGACCAGGAGGACGTGATACTAGTTTTAAGAAGTTAAGAATATATTCAGAACTATCAACTCCATAAAAAGTTAAAAACTACTGTTCAATATTACATTTTAACTTCACAAGCCATTATACTTTCCCTTTGTCAAATAAATTATCCATAACCATGAAATTACAAAACTACAGTGAGAAAATAAATAACCATCAGAATTACATAATTCACGTACATTCCAGTTGCTTAAAATCACATCTGTTCATGAAAAGGCATCATATACCAGCTCGTGAAAAGTATAGCATCCAAGTCTCATTTCTCTTATATAATGAAATGTCTATTTTAAAGTACACACAATACATAGCAAGCAATAATTATACAAAAGATTTTAAAAAGGCACCAGAAAAACATCATATGAGAAAATGTCTTCTCTAATCACCCATAGAATATGACAACATTCTCTCACAAGCATAAAGACAAAATAAAATAATCAAATTTGTTACTTCATAATCCCATAATATCAATAGATTCAGACTGAAGTCAAACAACACCAGGCATAACCTAAATTTAGTTTATCTTATTATGCACTCAAGAAGCAAACATTGGCTAATGAGAAGATGCTGAAAGAAAAATCTTAGCAACTGTTACATTTCTAAGTCAAACCTAGAGTGATGCAATATGAGAGATTATACCAAAATGGCGGTATTTACAACAGATATGATAGCAAGAATGCATGACCGTTTCAATTCAAATGTATCAGCTTACGTCTTTTTGGGCAAGCCAACACTTGGCAGCAGCATCCACGACAATATTGCTAAGCACTTGAATCTCGTGCAGATTATTCCTTCTGTTTAATCCTTGACCAAGGTTTTGTCCCATTGGATCCTCTGGGGACAACTTTTATAGCGTATCTCTTTTTCCTTCATTAGGTTTTTCTCACAGGGTAGGTTTTATTCTAATAACATTTTAATGAGACATTTTCTAGAGTGATGAATGTCCATAATATAGTGGACATTTACGCTCAATGTAACTTTATTTTCCTCTCCTATGTTATAAATTGTGTGCGAGACTTCCAAGAGTCTATCTCTCAACGGGATTTCTTCCTGAGATTAAAGATATAAAACCAAGGAGATGAAACTGAATCCTTGGCTTGTCATTTAATGCCAAGACATAAATTCAAATTCCACCTGCTATCATTAATTCCTGGATACAGAAAAGCTTATATGTTATTTTGGTAATTCTTGTTTTACTTCAACATCCGCATATAATTGAATATTCATACTTCCTTTTTGGAACATCCACAACAAATAATACACCTCCAAAATAGTATTTTAGATTCAAGTAACACCCTTGATAGTGCGTGGTGTGATTAACAAGGCTTCCTGACTACTGTTGTGGTGGAAAAATAATAAAAAACTATATCAAATATCCATTTCTTCAACTCTCATCTCAATGTAAACAATTCCACAGATTAAAGGTCACGGATGATTTCTCACTTCTTTAAGGTGTAATAAAGCAGAGAAACAAACCACATTTTTTCCTTATTTAAATTAATAACCACCCTCTGACTAATGGGTTTATCAATTGCAAATGCCAATCAAATGACTGAATTTCATCCTTGGAGTGGAAAACACAACTCTTGGATGCCAATGTTCTTATAAATTGCAAATGCTACTCACGTTGCTAAAATCCAAGCTTAAAGTTCAAAAGAATACAGGGCCGAAAGAGCCACTCTTTATTCACCAGTCACTAATATAAACACCCATTTCATACTCAAACAGTCAAATAGAAATCCCCATCCTTACAAAGAGAAGTAAAAACAGTTTGACAAATTTTCATTGAATATCCCAAACCCACCTAAAACTATTTCCTTCATTCACGCAATATAGACAAGAATTTCACGAAAAATGCTTAAAATTGTTCTAATTGCAGCATAACAACTCGAAAGCTGTAACCTTAGACCTCAAATAAGTACAAAGAGACCGCATATTCGACAAATTGTCAATACCATAAAACACAAACCCAACAAAAACTAATTATCACACCGTTCAAAAAAGAAATCCCACAAAAAAATTCCAATCAAGGGTGAGACCCATTACCTTGAATTCAAGGAAAGGTAAGTGGTACTCTTCTTTATGTATAACAACAGGCCACTGCTCACCAGCTTCGCCAAACATCTGCTCCGTCTCACGAGTGAGAATCAAGCTACGGATGGTCTGGGCGGGGATAGAGATGGCATTGAAGGTCTCTTCGACGCCATTAACGAAAGTAATGGTGACTCTCGTTCGGCGCTTGACCTGGACCTGGCCTTGCGGGCTTTCCTTTGCGCCAAGAATTCCATGGTCGAGTCACCTTTCACAAAAAACTTCCAACCTTTTTGCTGCTACTCTATAATTCTCTTTGTTCTAATTTTTTGTAATATTAAAAAAATTATCATTTTCAAATATAAACTACTCGTCAAAATTTTAAATCAATTTGTTAATAATTATTTTATATATTATGCAATTTTAGTAAGAAATGTCTTTTAAACTAACCATTTTAAAGTAAACATATTTCTTAATACAGATGACATCGTGAGAAATTCTTTTAGGGCCTATTTGATTGCAACGAATTCTGTGAAAAATGTCATATAAAAAAAATGAATTTCACTTTGACCGTTTGATTGCAATGTGAAAATGAAAATCGAATTCCAAAATACAACTACTTTAAGCTGCATTTTTTTTGTTTTCATGAAAAACGAATTCCTATAAGTTTGATGAGTTTTTATTTTCCAAACTAACATGTAGTTGGAATTACTTTCCACATTTGTCTATCAAACAGTCCTTTAGGCTTTAGCTTTTAGAAGAATTCAATAATAAGAAATGGAGAGAAGAGCACCAATGCACCATTGCACCTTTTAAACAATCCTTATTTTGCATGGAAATATAGATGCTTATGTGATTGAAGAGAGCTGAATGCAATCCTGCACCTCCCCTCCCCGTTCGACCCGTGTTCATCAATTTCAAATGTAATATAGAAAATCACTTTTTACAAAACCAATTATGAAAAAATGGGTTCAAACGGGAACTAAGTTATTTAGAAAACTTGTGAAATAAAATCCAAGAATCCCCTGGCTATTTCAAGTTAGGAGCAAAATAAAACATGCCACAACAAATTAGAATAAACAAATTTAAATTTTTACTCTTTCAGGGGAAAAAAAAATACACGAGAGGAAAAGGAAAGGCTGGCCAAAAACAATGCCTCCCATAAATGATGTACCAGTAATTTCTCTATCCATTTTCATTCTTTTTGCAATTTGAACCTCTGGATTATTAGTGACTCTCTGCTGGGATGATATATCATGCAGAAATGTACAGTTTTCTCCATTCCTGCAACCCCTTGGACTATTGAAAAACATGCATGGCTTCATTATCTTTGATTTCGATTCCCTCCATTTCGTAGTATTTATAGGTTCTTGAATAGTCTGACCACCAAAATGGTGTAAAATTTCTTGTCTTTCTCCTCCATGTTGCTGAATCAGACTCTTGTAATAGTTTAAGTCCTTGACTCCTTGGTTATAGGAGGCGGATGTCACGGATCGCATGGTAGTGACATAAGATTGGGCATGACACGGGAATGACATGGCACCAAGTGGGATAATAAGTTAGACCTATGGTTGATTATGTCTAAGCTTCAACCGTATACGGAGATAC